CCCCCCCCCCCAAAAACCCCCGCAAAAAACACATAGTTAGTCAAGTCATCAATTCATTCCATTCCATTTCCCTTCCAACCCTCCCCCTGCCTTTTCCCCTCCCTCTTCCCCGCCCCCCTTTTCCTCCCCCTCCTCTTTGAGCCCAATTCCACACGCAAGAATATAGATATAGATATAGCTAAACCTATAAGAAGCCCCCTAGCTACAGTAGCTACTCCAAGTGACAATCTCCCCACCACACCCTCAACCTCAACCTCACCCTCGCCCCCGCCATCGCCCTCAAGGAAAGAAAAGTAAAGAAAAAATGAGAAAAATAACAAAAGCAAAGCAAAGAAAATAAAAAGGTATGATATCGCACGCCAGGGTAATCCACACTCCTCGGTAAAATAAAAAAAAGTTCAATAAAAAAAAAAAGATCAAAAATCAAACAACAAACAACAATTCTTTCTTCCTTTTTCTTTGGCATACCCAAAAGAGCGCTCTTGCTCTGGTTGCTCCGCTCCGCTCTCCTCGCCAGCACCAAAAAAAAAAGTGACAACAAAAATAGGAGTCTTCCGAGAAGAAACCCCACAATCAGAAATCTTTCATCCGTCATGTACATCTTTTCTCCCATCCTCATTTCATCTCCTTCTTCAGACAAGAACCCACTCACTTCCCCTCTTGATGAATTTGTCCAACAGTAGTGAGATATCATTCAACACAAACCGACAGATGTAGAAGCCAAAAAATTCAGCCGCATGACGAGTACATAGTTCGAGACCGACCTGAGTCTTGTCGGCATGACGCAACCCCGGATCTTCGACCTGGCGAGCAATTTGATCTGAAATCCCAATTAGTTATCGTTCAAAGAAACGTCATACAAAACTTACCAATAGCTTGCGCAGCATCGAACAGTCTCGCTAATGAACTCATATACTGTGCATTTGGTCCGGAAAAATGCACCTCGGTGAGATCTCTCTTGGCAAAACGAACCTTGGCCAACGACGTGGTCGTCATGGGTAATGTGCCCATGACAGTATTTTCCTTGGGCAAATCTGGTATAGACTGCTGCTTTGAAGACGAGCCGGAAAGTTGAGCTGAGGAACCTTTCGATCGCAATCTGCGCCAAGAAAATGATGATGATTTGCTTGAGCTGCTTGCAGCTTTGGATGCCGTACTCTCAGCTTCGACACCATTCGTATCTTTGAACACGCTACCGTATCCCATACCGACCTCATTCCCGAGTTTCTTCGTCAGAGTTGTCTGAACTTGTTCCAGAACACCTTCCAAGGATTGCATTTCTTCCAATACCGCATCAGCGTCAAATGTATCAACCCGTGACAATTTCATTAGAGCAGCCGTCAAGAAATCGCAATTTGCAATCTTATCCTCGACACCTTTTAGCTTGACACCTTTCACCCTCCAAACATCGCGTGGGACAAATAGTTTAGTAGAGAGATACCCTCCTCGAGGATGTGCAATTGTTTGGTACAAGGCCCGCATGAGCCAGAAAGGTCGCAGTAAAGATTCTGTGGGGCAAGGTTCGAGAGGGATTGGAGCGTTTGCGCTCGCAACTGCGCCGATAGGATTTGGGGATCTAGGGCTATCGGGCGACTGTATATCGCTCGCGAAAAGGTACAGGCCTCCAGATGTTCCATTCACTTTTTCCTTGAACGCAGTCCCTAGCGGAGTTGGCATGACTGGAAGTGCAGGTATCCGTCCATTCGCATCTCTGGCCGTAAACATGGCGCTTCCGGGCGTATTTGGTGAAACCTCAGACCCATCGTCCAGATATGAGACACCCAAACTATTTCCCTTCATGTTTTTCAGGCTAGTGGAGGAGAAGTTCTTGCGTAGACCAGTCCTTGAATGAGTACGACCAGGCGAGCCGGAATGAGGTACTCCATTCTCAAGCTCATCCGAGATTGATTGCGTTAGAGTAGGTGTTGGAGGAAGGGCGGGATCAGATGGTCCTAGTGTAGAGAAAGTAGATGAAGGTAGTCGATTTGAGATGGTAAGAGGAGGTCGGCTAGCTGATAAAGGCTGCCGAGGTGGGAAAGCAGAAGTCTTTGGGTGAATAGCTACACCATTATCTGGTATACGTGGCGCTGACTTAGCAGGTGATTGCGCTGTTTCAATTTTCAATTGCTTTGCATTTTGTCCAGATAGCCTTCTACTCCGTACCCCTTGATTGGGGGGAGTGGGAGGTGGTGGAGGAAGGGCACCCGGAGGCGGGGGATTAGATGACGTTTTGTAATGGAGCGATGGCATATGAGGAACAAATGATGTTTCTGTAACCGTGGAAAGCGAAGTCCCAGCTGTCGTTGGATTTGACCCAATGGAACTATTCCACCCAGAGGTTCTCCCTGAAAACCCACTGGAATCGGATTCACGAGGCAGGGCAGACTTTGATTGTAAGCCAAACTCAAAATCATCCATAGCATATTCTCTCGTCATCTCTTCTAGCAACCGCTCTTCTTCTTCAGATTCATCGCCATACTCGTTCTCAATATTCCTTTGCGAGTTCTGGCTCAGCAATCGTTTCCGTTCTCGCGCGCGAGCACGCATGATAGAGGCTTCTCGTTCGGTTTGGCGAACTTTCTCCTTGGCCATCTGCACTCTCCGACGAACACTGGCCACGATAGCATCGTCATCCCCATCATCGTCCACATCGTCGTCGTAGTCATAGGGATTTCCACTATCCGCAGGCTCCAGTCCGTCATCGTAAGCTGCTTCGACAGCTGCATCCAACGCCGCGTCAAATTCGGCTTCTGTGGCACCGCTAGCTGCACGAATACGTTTCCTTCTAACCCTTGAAGATGTTCTTGAGTGGACTGAAGAAGCGGCTGATCCCCCAGATTCATCAATGGTATCTAGCCATGACATGGATTCGTTACTAGGTGCCCTGGTATGGCCTTTGCTTGGCACTTTATTAGAGTTACTAGAGGAGTTACTGGTTTTATATAGATCTGAAGGCGGCTGTCGAGGACGAGAACTATTTGGAGATCCGTATGTTAAAGGAGAGCCAAGACGGCGCGGCGATAACGGTGGTGGCATATATATGCTATCCATCGCCGGTGGCAATTCCATGTCCATTTCCCTTACGCGATCCCTCAACGCTGGCGATTTGGACTGCGACCGCTCGAAAGGGGGGTCCAACCCGTACCTTCCCGAGTACTGGCTCCCTTCAAAAGCGGATGGTATAAGTGACTCTCTTCGAATCGGGAGTTGCGAGTTCGGTATCGATCGCAAGCCCTGGGGACCTGCAGTGTATGAATGATCATTTACGATTCGCGTAACAGTCGCCGTCTCTATAATTGGGATCTCCTCATCGTCGGTGGGTGGATGGAATTCACTTTGGGCATAGCCTCCGCTTTCAGGTCGTTGGGGTAATGCTTTTCCCTCGTCCTGTATTTGAGGGGTAATCCTCCGTAGCTCATTTATTCGACTAGTATAGGTGTTGCGCTAGAGGTGTTAGTTTGAGCGAACAGTGCGAGCAACACCACACAACTCACAATTGCTTCCAGCTTCCTTTTGTCCTCATCCCCCGAGCTCCTAGACATAACCTGTTGTAATAATGCACATGCCTCTGAATACGCCTGCATGGCGCCCTCGAAATTTTGCGCATTGTCCAGAAGTACTGCAGTATTAGCCTTCTGCAGGGCCTTGGAGAGCATGGCTTTTTGTGATGAACCCTTGGAGTTTCTACCTGAACCACCAGTGCTCGTACTGCCCTTCTGAGCCTGAGAACGATGCCGTGAATGACCCCTTGGCCTGCGCCGTTCTTCTTTCTCCCGTGGTCCTCCTTCCTTCTGGTCGGTGGTATTGGAGGGAGAAGCGCTAAACGCTCGTGGTGTTGAATCCTCCCAAGCCTTCCCAAAATAGTCTGGCACTGTCGTTCGCACCGCGGCCGACAACAGTCCTGCGGTTGAGGGAGAAGGGGAGCTAGGCCTACCAGATGGGGACGAAGCGTTTCTCATAGACCCCTGTGCATTCGGCAGTGTTACAATTGGCGGCAACGTTGAGGAATTCCCATAAGCTCTCTTTGGAGAACTGTATGCTGAAGCTGGAGCTGGCGCTGGCGCGGGAGCTCGTTTGTCGGTGGTGGGATCGGCACCTAGAAGGAAGGTTGTCGACCCTGATATCGACATGCGGCGCGTTGAGGAAGAAGGTCGCTGATGGGACGAGTGCGTACTGCCGCTAGAGACGGTCGATTTGGACCAGCGATTGAGGTTCCCCACACCCTGGATTGTGCCCGAGAGACTGGTGGAGCGGCGGTGGGCATAGGCGTTGGAGTTCGCGATCGAGTTCGTGTGGGGAGATTCAGGGGAGGCAGATGCTGAGGGGACTTGATGTCGAGAGGCATTCTGTGGAGCAGCCGAATTCGAGGGACCAGCCTGCCCGTTGCTGCGGACCCCGAGATGGGGAGAGGGACCTCTGGAAGTGGATGCCGTACGCGGGTCTCGCACCACGATGTTGGGGGATTGTTGGAGTTGACGACGGTGAGGAAGCTCGGTGGACATATTGCAATCCTGCACCTGCGCCTGCACCTGCACTGCGATGGCAATGGCAATGGCAATGGCAATGGCAGTGGCAGTGGCAGCCAGGTGGTGGTGTGGAGTGATCCCTACTTTATCCCTATCCCTACTTTATCCCTATCCCTATGCTATCCCTATCCTACCCTTATCCCCTGGCGCTTTTGCTTTCTGCTAGGTACTGATGCTCAGGCTGGTGGTGCTGGCCGTGGCAGCGAGCTCATGCACCCGATGCAACCATACAGTAGAACTCCCGAGAATGTGCTGCTGCTGCTGCTGCATGAGTGTCTTGCCTTGCTGGTGCCGAGAGTAACAGAGTCACGTCTTGGGTCCTTTCTGTCGCTTGCGCAATATTCAATCTTCAGTCAACCCGACAATGACAATTCTCGATGCGCTGAGCCCTTCCTTACCGTGGAGTCGGCGCACGCGATGCTGACGAAGGTGCTGGACGGTGATGGGTATGAGCAACGGGATCGGGTCTTCTTGTTCCTACGGGAGGATCGCTCGCTATGGATACGCTATGCTATGCTATGGATATAGTACCGGTTCGTACCTAGAAGAGCACGGGTACAGATGTGCAACGGAATAACCGTGCAGCGCAGCGAGACAGCAAAGAGACCACCACTCAACCGCAATACAATGCGATGCGATGGGGAGCACCCTCAGCCTAAGCCTAAGCCTAACCCTACACCTCAGCAATAGAGGCAGAAGAGAAAACCTATTCTAAAGAGTCAGTGACTAGTTGGGAGGTCAGACGTAGAAGGCGCAAAGCAGCGCTAGAAGGTGCCGTTGAGGCGCGAGGCTCAGTGTTGATATTCGTATCCACCACTGTCACGGTCACTGTCACTGTCCTCCTGGAAGCCCAACCCTGTGGACTATGCGAGATGATCAAGTCGTACCTCTGCCGGTTGCTATCTGCTTCCTCCGTCGCCTTCCCTTTCCAATATCCCCTTCTTATTCCTCTTCCCTTCCTTTCCAGTACTAGTCCCCCGGCTATCTCCAAGCGCCTCGACAGATATGCGCTCAAACCCCAATCCTCCAGCCAAAGTGTTGGGTGACGGTGCGGTGCCAAAGCCCAGGGTTGCAACGGCAGCCACCGGAGCCTTTCAAACAGTCGTGGGTCGTACAGGTTCCCCCAAACTGGGCAGGAGCGCGTCGTCCGTGGTAGGTGATTCGACTGGCGAATCGCTTAGAGCAAAGCAGAGGGAAGGTTGAGAAATACTGTGGGTGGTGGTGTTGTCAAAACCCAAATATCGGGAAAGTTATGTATGGCCTGCCTTGCGCTGCGAACAGGTACGAGTAACTCTACCACAGCCCATGGCCCCATGCGCAGGTGCGTCCCCGAAAGCTACGCTACTCTTCTCGAAAGCGGCGTTCGAGGCACAAGCTTTGGGGTCTCCACCTCCGTCCGAGCTGTGAGGCACAAGAAGCAATTGCCTCGCATCCAAGGAACATGGGAAGTAACTACTCGACTAGACTTTCAACTCGGAAACTCGTTATTGGTGAGAATACTCGGAGCAGATTCCGTGGTTTTTCTATTCACCACATCAAAAAGAGAACGTCTGGTGATGCCACTGCCGCTTCTCATCAAGAAAAAGAGCCTTCATCAGGGGTCAGCTACTGGGGGCACTTTGACGCCGATGATTGGACATAAAATCGTTGTTTCCATCTACCTTCCATTATTGGCAGTAATGCCAGGTCCATCAAGCACTTGTCTCCAAGCTGTTGATGGGCATTCGCGAATCCTTTATCGGCGGGTTGGGGTCTCGCAATTGCTCTTTTCGTCCAAGGACCTTCGAGATGGACATTGCTACTCCCCAATTCATGACATCCATGGGAATCCTATGGAGACGATTCAGCGATCCCACCGTTCCAGTACCATTGGGAGACTTACCCTACCGTAGCGATTCGCCGATTTCCCAATTCGTAATCGGACTCAACAAGATAGGACAGGAATATATCCACCTATATCAACTGTTTCAGATAGGGTGGTAGCTTCTCCAAGGTAGAGTCACGCCATCTTTTCATGGTCATTAAACTTACGGGGAAACACGTAAACCCATCCTTTAGGTACCAAGAACTAGAAATGGTATGACTTGCGAATCAGGTCCCATGAAAATAGAAACATGTTTGGGAGTGGAAAATAGTACTTCGGGGAGATTCATAACTAGGCGGACGCAAAAAATAGCAAAGACTTCTTCTATATTTTGAATTGCTTGACTACTGTCAAGCTTCTCTGATTCTTATGTGATCATGCTATTGACACTTAGATCTGTTAACATTATTACTAGACCACAACAACCATCTGAGAAAGGGAATACGGAATTTCTACTATACAACACGGTCATGATGTCCATACGGGGGGGAGGATCCTAGACAATCAATAAACAGATAAAACAAGGATCAAGCCATCTCGCTTGCCAATTACTAGCTGTTCTTACGGTGTCCGCAATGTTTACTTTACTTGTTTGTTTTTGAATCATGTAGAACATCTAGAACGATCGAAACATTGTCTAAAGTTTCTTTCCTCCTCAGCCATAGATATCTTGAGTCAGACACAGACAAAAAATTGAAAGCCTCAAGGTTGGCGTACTGTAAATGACAGAGTCCAGACATTTTCACAAACTCCTTCACCCCCTGATGTACATCACATCACATCGTAAGTTCACACTACACTACACCATTACCACACCCAAAAACCATACCAAGACCTCCTCCATACTCGTACTTCCTGAGCCCTACTCCGTACCTCTGCACCATCACATCTTCGCATAAGCAATCGCAACATACAATTCCTCGCAACCCAACACTCCTAGTAGGAAAATTTCGAATCACTCACTGATTTCCGAGTCCCCCAGACAAGATTTCGGGGAAGAGAAGAACGTCAGAACGGAGATCCCCCAAACACAACACAACCCTACCTCCCACGAGGCGCAACCAAACCATGCGAAACATTGCCCCAGTCGGCTGGCTGGCCGCTGGCTGGCTGGTACATGACATGACGGCTTGTGTGTGCTACGACATATGCAGGAACCAGAACCAGAACCAGAACCAGAACCAGAGCGAGAAGGAGAATTCCATTTCACATTTCTAGAAGACAAGAGAGGAGGAGATGCGGATGGGATGCTTTAGATTTGAATACACTTTGATTCTTCTTTTTGGGATTCGTTTGGAAACACATTTTTCTTTCCTCGCTTTTTGGAAGGGTCTGCTGGACTTAACGAATATAAATATCCCCATGATTAATTAATCAAGACAGCGCGCGGGGTCTTGGGGAAACACATTCCAGAAACGAAATTTCTCCACCGGGACGGCTTGTTTTTATTGTTTCAATCCGTCCCGTCATCTTTTTACCTTTTTTTTTTCCTGATGGAAATTCTCCGAGTCGTTGGAGATTTATTTCCGTACACCTAGGTACCAGGTATCAAGGTCGACCTCTTTTTTCTATCAATGCCCCCACGTTTACAGTAGAAGGGCCATGATAGGAACACGGCCAACAACCAACAGGAATCAGGTCAGGTTGGAAAATAGAATACTTGGGAATTGGAAGGCTGGAGGAATCCGAGAATCGCTTTCGAACTGCGATGGTTTCATCGTCGCTCGCTGCAACTCTGGAAGACACTCATCCGGTTGGAGAAGCGAGTCCCAAGCACACCACTACTGTACATCTCAATACCTCACCCCAACAAGTTCAACCAGGTGGTCTTTCGAACAATCATGTGATTCATCTTGTCAAGTGCAGACGAAATTCAGTAGAATAGGGGATATCTTACCTCATCGACGGCGAAAATATTCCCGTCCCGCCATGTCCCGCGATGTCAGCCTCGCTACTTGTGGGAAGTCCGTCTCAGCCGGTGGGCGTTTTTGTCATCCTTTCTCCTGGCACCTGGTATTTTTTGGGGAGTCGGATGTGTGACTTTATATACGCCGCTCGGGTACAATGGTCCTTTGCAAATTTGATCAGGGCTTCCCTTTTTTATGGAGATATTTTGAGTTTTGAAATATCAACGGATATAATATATAGGTAGACTGTTTTTATCTGCCGTACGAGGTAACGAAAGTATCTTTATATCTTCTAGAAGGAGTGGAGTACATCACCCCTCGGGAGGGAGCCGGACGGCCATCCTCGCAGTGGACTAAAAATGCACGTCATTAACCTACTTTAGCAGTCCTGGAACTTTGGATAAATCCGATTCAAATTCAACTGTTCGAATAAATGAAAGAATTGCCAAATAAAACAATTTACGATAAAAAGTGGTGAGAAGTATCTCGCTGCCGTTTTCTGTCAACAGGAGGTCGGCAATGTCGAATGCGAATTATGACGTAGCAAACGGCCCTCGCATCGCAAAGAAATCCGAACATTCGAAAACAAATAACCAACCACATGGCAACTTTCTAAATATAAGCTTCCATATCCAACGTCAACTGACAGGTACCTCGGCTCTCTAGACCAAATCTGCCTTGCATCTCCAAGTTACGGATTTCTCAAAACCTAGACTCCATCAGTCATTATTAATGTGGACCTGCAGAAGTACGTACATTAGTAGGACCCTTTCCACATGAAAGCATCCCCTCCCCTCCCCTCGCCGTCAATCCATCCATGTCGGGAACTTTACGACTCATTATCTTGGCCGCGGCCATGTCTAACTTTTACCACTCGTGATTATCTCTCTTTCTAAGCGACAACGAACACACTCTCCGAAAGATCCGATATCCAAATACCCTCACACCACTATAAAAACGTAGCAGCGGATGGTGTTTGCGTCGTCGTTGTGGTTGATCTTCTCTTCACTACTGACGAAAGGTACCTCTGTACACAAGCAACAAAGCCACGCCGTATTTTTCAGCCCCCTTCATCGTGCGGCGTTTGTCGTTGCCCTTACTTGTCATACGTGAACACGACTTTGTAAGCGTGTTAAATCCATCACTTCTGCCTGGAATAACCTATCATTCGTTCTATCCAGGAGATAAGACAAGAGAAGTTTCTCGAACGTAATATGAACCGGGTCTTCTGAGCATCATCGTTCCACTTTACCTATCCGAGTTTGTGTTCAACGCCGTACAACCTTCGTTTGAGCCCTTCTCCTGGGGATTTTCTCAAACCATTATCAAACCTGTGAGAACGACAGTACATCATGATGGGTCGAACGGTATCCAAAAAACCCAAGGCCGCGACGAATCCGTCTTCATCATTGGATGAGGATAATGCGAAATCAACTGCATTATCAAAATCCGACAGCTATGATAGCTATCCGAAGGTCGAAGCGACGAGTACCTCCGCCAACTCTCGGAGGCCTCGTGCACTAAAGATAGCTCTTGATGAATTCGCTCCAAGGGGGACCCCGGAGAGTGGGAGTGAAGAAGATTATGATGCTCTGAAGCCGGATCCCTCTGCTATTGCTGTTGGTGGCAAGGGTGGTGGGTATGAAGGAATCAAGGATGTGAAGACAAGTGTATGTATCTTTTTTTTACCGAGTTCTCATATATACACCATTTTTACTAATAGCTTCATCAGGATAAAGACAAGCTCCCAGCGAAACGCAAGGGAATATTTAGTGACATCGTTTTCACTCGATCATTCAGCACCTTGGATGGTCGTAACCCCGCCACAGCAGAGAGTCCCTTTCGTGGATTCTTCAACCTCTTCTGGCTGAGTGTTGCGTTTTTCATGCTGCAGTTGTTTATTGAGAACTGGCAAAACTATGGAAGTGTTCTTGGGGGCAATGAGATTATGAAGATCGCTTTCCGAAGGGACGTCGTTGTTCTGTTATTTTCAAGCGCTGCTATGTGTCTTTCTCTCCTCTTTGGCTTGTTTTTACAAAAGGCTATTTTGAATGGTTATGTGACGTGGAATGGTGCCGGTTGGATAATTCAGAGTGTGAGTCACTTCAGTGACTTTTTGAGAGTGGTGATTGAGAGATGAAATGCTGATCGGTTTTATTGTAGGTGTGGGAGATATTTTTTCTTGTGGCAGTTATTGGGTGGACTGTGTTTCGATCATGGCCTTGGAGTCATTCGATTGCCTATACGCTACAGGTAAACACCTATTTTCATAGCACAAGCGAAGGCCGCTAACCAGGATTAGGGACTTGTCATTCTTATGAAGCAACACAGGTACGTTTATATCACTCTCTCCTAGAGACGTCCGAATAAGAGTATCAGCTGTTGTTCCCTGTCTCTCGCTTATAAAACCCCGCGAAATACTCCAAGACAATTGAGATTCTTATTTGGGAAGTCTTTGGGGGAATTAGTCCATCCGGCTTCTAGTTTGCCTAAGCCTTCCCAAATGAGAGCATTTATTTCATGGTTGTTTCTTCTTCAGATGGAAGACGTGTTAGAACAGCAAATAATCTTACTACAATCAAGCAATTGCTAACCTTTAACCATCACAGCTATGCATTCTGTAAGTAACTCCACCAACCAACCACACCCATCTCTAACGTCTCACAGACAACGGCAATCTCTCAGAAGCCCATCTAATGCGCCAAAAACTCATCCACTCCCTCGAAGCCCTCTCAAAAATCTCACCCGTCACAAGCCCCTCCTCCACATCCCCCACCGTCTCCTCCCTCTCAACCTCCTACCTGGACACGCGTCCCACAGCCAGCGACCTAATCCAGCGTCGTCAAGCACTAAAAGACAACTCCAACACCAACACCACCTCCACCATCTCCCAAGTTCTTACCGCCATCTCCTCAGGTGACCCCCTCGACACCGACCAAATCCACGCCTTCACACGGATAATCAACTGGGAAATCTCAATCCTAAACGAGGACCTAAAAGGCAAGTGTACGAACACGACAAACTACTACCCCAAGAACCTGACGGTAACGAACCTGTTGGATTTCACGGTGATTCCCACACTGGTGTACGAGTTGGAGTATCCACGCAGCGAGACGATCGATTGGGGGTATGCATTTGAAAAGGGCGTGGCGACCCTGGGGATCATCGCGATTATGAATACCCTTGCCCAAGCACGGATCTACCCGGTCGTTGTGAGGGCTGTCGAGTTGAGGGAGACGTTGCCGGTTGGGGAGAGGTTGAAGGAGTTTCCGTTGATTTTGAATGATTTGGTGTTTCCTTTTATTATGGAGTATCTTTTGGTTAGTCGGACTCATTACAACTCCCACTTTCTTAACTTTCTCTCAAATTCCCCACAACTTTCTCAATTAAATTCGAATTTGGGTTTGAGAGGAAGGAAACTGATGAGTTTGATAGACTTGGTATCTGATCTGGGAATGTGTCTTGAATTTCCTCGCTGAACTCACTTGTTTTGCGGATCGGTAAGTTTCTTTCTTCTCTCCTTTCTCTACCTACCTCAATATAAACCTCGCTATAAACTAAAGAATTTACTAACGACTTCACCAGAGGCTTCTGCAACGCCTGGTGGAACGCCGCCTCCTTCGAAAACTACGCCCGAGACTGGAACAGACCAGTGTACGTCCCCCCTCCCCATTCCCCCCTCCCCCTTATTCCCCACTAACACCCCACCCCCACCCAGGCACCTCTTCCTCCTCCGCCACGTCTACAACAGCTCCATCTCCACCTTCAAAGTGACCAAATACACCGCCACATTCATCACCTTTTTTCTTTCCGCCATCCTTCACGAGATGCTCATGGTCATCCTCTTCCACCGCGTACGCGGCTACCTGCTTATCATGCAACTATGCCAGTTACCACTTATTAGGTTTAGTCGCACACGGTTTATGAGGAAACGACCGACTTCGGGGAATGTGTTGCTTTGGGTTGGTCTGTTGACGGGGCCGGGGTTGTTGTGTAGTTTGTATTTGATTATTTGATTATTTAGGGTTTGGGGGGGGAGAGGGTGGGGGNTCGGGGAATGTGTTGCTTTGGGTTGGTCTGTTGACGGGGCCGGGGTTGTTGTGTAGTTTGTATTTGATTATTTGATTATTTAGGGTTTGGGGGGGGAGAGGGTGGGGGTGGGGATGGAAGGGAAGGATGGAAGGAGGTGGATTTATGGGTTTTGGGACTTTGGGCATGGGTTTGGGAGTCGGGAGTTGGGAAGAATGATATTGATTGATTGGGAAGAATGATGGTAATTGATTGGGAAGAATGATAATTTATGGGGAGTAATACTTTATAGCGATTTGGAAACTAGTTACGAGTAGGATATCAATCTCTGATCTCCAATCTTATATCCACATTTACATCCACATCCACATCCACATCCCAAAAAGCAAAGTAAATAAGTAAGAAAGAAAGAAAGGAAGGGAGGCGTTCGTCCAGGTTTAATATCTCAAATTTAAGTTCAAGTTCAAGTCTCACTTCGAATCAATTTTTCATATATTGTACTGTATACATTATATTTACCTTCTTTATGAATTATGTATAATAGCTCTGATAGACTGATAGTTGGCTTTTAACTCCCTTCAGAATTGTGACAGATAAGATAGAGTATTGAAGAAGCTCTCCCTCCCTGCCTCCCTACCTAGTACTATACCTACCTAGTATAGTATCTATAGTTTATTACACCTCTACCATCCATCACCTATCCAAAAAGTCTACAATAATGAAAAGTCTAGGCGAGTAGGTAGTGTAATATATTATAGTATAATAAAATATCATAAAATTAAAAATGTAGAACTCTTACCTACCCTACCCACGCCATATATTATAATTAATAATATAGGCTTATGAAGAGTTTAATTAAGTTAAGTTAAATTAACGAATCTTGCTCTTTGAAGTCTTGATGGAAAGGTGAAGGCACTGTACTGTAGAAGATATGGGTTTTGGGGATTCTTGGGTTAGTTGAGGGGAGGGGAGGGGGGGTT